TACATGTCGCTCCCTGGAGAGAAGATGAAATAACGCACATTATATGACACACATGACGTCATAAAATATGCTATCAAAAAATTTTGATAAGAAAATAATAAGTCTTCAACAACTCACTGTATTTGCATTCTCCATTGCTTTCACCTAGGAAAGTACTTCTCATACAGAGAGGTGTAGACCTCTGTGTTTTTTTCCTTCAAACGAACTGATCTCTAAAAATGGAGGTAAATAAATGCTGTACAGGACAATTCACATTAGCAATGTATATCTGTGTGAAGGGGGTTTTAAGGGGAAAAACCCTTAACTTATAACACTGAGTAGCTAAGGACCAGTTAGAAGATAATATAATTTTCTGACAGCAAAAATTCACTTAACCCTGTAAGGAATGTCTAGGGCCAAAACAATCCATGTGAATTACACTAAAGATCTGGGGAAATTATTTGATAACACATGCTTTGTCCAGAAAAGATGGCATTTACTTTATTACTTCATTCCCCTCTGTTTTCTACTTGTTTTGTGTATGACACTAATAGAAACCAGGTATCTCAAATTTCATATAAGGTATAGTTCTCCATGGAAATACTTTCTAGTGATCAGGGCTATGAGCTTAACACCAGAATAGCATAATTGTCCAAAGACAAGCAATGGAAAAACACAGAGTATATAGCCAAAATGGAAATATGAATCCTCTCTTATAATTTCTCATATTTTTTTATGGCAGGTTTGAGAATCAGAAGGGATGCAATAGTAAGTATGAGGTTGGGAACTTATCTGGCTCAACTGGATTAATTTCAGTCACACACTCCAGTAGTTATCTTTGTCCTTCCAGCAACATCAGCCTTCTCTGTCCTCACCACCAACTATAGCCTTTACACATGAAATATATCCTGCCAAACTCCAAAACACTCTGACCCATTAAAGGTTTCCCCTTTTCTTCTATTGAGAACAAAGAACACATTACATTTTTCTATGTGAAGTATGCTATTAAATAATAGCTTGTACACTAATTAAAGCAAATGTAATTGTGAGAACACACTGACATTGTTAAAGTAAATTACCCAATTTGTTAATAGTTTCATTTCAAGTGACCTTAATTGTATTAATTGTGATATTGAGCAAATTAAATTGAAGAGTATTAAATGCATTGTTCCAGTCTGTCCTTAGAGGATCAACTTTCTCATTATATCAATGAAATGGGAATACTACCTACCACGCTCTTCAAAACTTGTGTCAGAATGTGGTGGACGCTTTAACTTGGAGTAAAAATTTACAGCAGAAAGATAACCTAGTTATCCCATTTCAATGCAACACAACCCTTGAGCATTTGGCAGTCAGAAAAACAGTTTGTCAGATGCAATATGCAGGTAGAAGGTACAACAATGATGTTTTGGAAATTTCATTCAGGTCTCACAAAGTCTCTGCTAGAGACAGAGCCAAGATTCACCAATTTATCTTAAAAGATCCCTGTTTCAGAGGGTACCACACAAAAATATTGTTAGAATAAAGTGAATAAAAGCATGATGATTCTTAGAAGAGAGAATGCAGTAAGATGTCATCAAGTCAAAAGACTATCAAGGTGAAAACATAGTAATTCACACATACCCAGATGTGTGTAAATTAAAATACAACCAAACCCACAAGAAACAACCAAAAATTTAAATTTCTTAAAAGACCTAGAATTCTCCATTTGAAGTATTAGACTGAAAAAATAAGAATCTATGCCATAAATTTCTAATCAACCATTTAAAAATGCTATTTAAAAAAAGGAAACATGAGTGCATATATGGCATGTACCTTTTGTTTATCTTGAAAGAAAAACCAGACATAAGGAAAATAACACAGGCCAAATTAAGCAATAGAAAAGGATAAAAATACTATCGTAATGGATTTTTTGAAATGTTTTAAAGGGATAGAAAAAAGATCTTCACAGGTAAAGGCTAATTCTGAATTTTTCAAACTTGCAAATAAGCACATTCTCATGGCTCACCATAACTCAAGATTCAAAGTTTATCAGTTACATAAAATCCGGAGAGCTACCAGCACCCAGACCTTTCTCCAAATGGCACTTACTTCATCTGTAATGATCTGCTTTCATTTGTTCAGCTAGGTAACTGTCTCATGCCTAGCATCTGCAACATTAATCCTTGCAGCTGTTCCTAGTGAACCATGTCTTAATCTTCTCAGGCCACTTCTCCAAAATCTCAAGAATACTTTGAATTTTACATCTACTTTCCACTGTGTCAACAGTCCTGTCCCAAATAAACCATGTTTTCTCTCTATTCCTTCACTGCAATTTTAATAAAAGCACTAAATACTACTAGACTCAACATATTTCTGGAATCCTATCCAATATACCCTTTCAAGCTGACAGAAAATGAACAAAAAGTAGTTGACGCATGCAGTTTTCCAAACAGCAATACTTAAGAGCAATCCATGTATTTTTGAGATTTCTTTAATTTTATGAAAACTGTGAGAGAATTTCTTAACTCCAGCTGGACATGACATCTTCTGGTTCTCCATCAAGTTCTGGTATGAACTGCACATGCTAGAAGTACAACACTTCATGAAGATTTACAAATCTAACTAGATCAGTAACTAAATATTTCTTTTCAGCACCCTTATCAGTGCTATGTTTTTTCCAATCACCTCATCTCAGTGAAGGCATTTATCACTTTGCCTCCAAGATAAGCATTCAGCCATGCTTCAAAAACACAATTCAGATATACTGATATTCTGCAATATTGCCCAGAACATCTCCAGTGGACCACCACTCCACCGTATTTCTGTGATTCATGACACAAAAAATTAAGATAGAGATTTTCACAAAGTTGATTCTGTATCACCCCTGAAACTTGAGACTGCATTGAAAAACCTTGTCTTGAAATACTTTAGTGAAGGCAATGATGGACGGACTGCATGGACAGGAACAACTGGATACTTTGATGCCTACAGCACTAACACCAACCATACACACACTTTATTTAAAATGAAACATTAAAACTTCAAAGACCTATTCTGGATATATAAAGTTTCAAATTAAAATGCACTATGTGTTTCACAGCAAAAAAGGCTATGAAGATGAAATGGATGCTTTATATAAAATATTTACATAGATAGAACATAAAAAATGTACCATAGTTGGTAACCTTTATGACTTGGGGAACCATGTATTTACATATCTTTATCCTCGCATGTGCGTATGTGTGTGTTGTGTATATATTTTTAACAGTTGACAGCTGTTTTAGAGCATACAGAGATGCCAAGCTGAATGAGGGTCTTGATTACTTCAAGATTAGCTATCTAAAGTTTCTATTCATTTTAAGTGTTGTTAGTGCGAAGAGTCATTAGTCACTTCCTTGTCTCATAGAACATCAGCATACATTTACATTGTTAATGAACATTTGGGGTAAATGAATTAATGGCACTTTTAAACATCAATTCAATCCTAATAACTTTGTATGTCATAGAAATGTTAAGGTTGGGATAAAAATGAGAAACCTTTTCAGTCAAGGTAACTAATCACTTCTGGGCACAATAAAGGGTAAAATTAACTTACAGTGTTTTTTTAACAGGGTGAAAATTTTGCTTTTTCTTGAAACAGAGTTGAAAGAATTATCACATTTTTGAAGCAAATAGAAATCAGAAGAAAATGTTTATCTTTTTCTTGACTGGGGTAGACTATAAGCAAGCTGTTTTTCCTCCTGAAAATGGTTATTATTTTAGCTTATTGAAAAAAAATATTATTTTCAGGTTTCTAAAATATGTACACAATTGCATTTGGTTTATGAGGCTAAAAAGGCTTGATATCATTAAGATGTCAAATATAATAGAAAAGAAACACTGACCTAGAAAAGCTATTCCACTTAATTGTCAGGTTTTAAAATAGTTTCGCCATGATATACATTGTCATTTTCAAACACTGAAGAAGCTTTATAAACCAATGAAGAAACAGTGAAAAAATTAACTCAAAGGGACAATGAAGTTTTACCAATATATTTTGAAGCAAAACATCAGCTTCTAAACTGAAGTAACAAACCTGACTGAGCAGAACTTGACATAGCTTTTTAATAAGCACTAGTAAACAGAGGATTTATAAACAGATACACCAACATAGAGTAGTTGATCTGGGTGAGGGACTTAGAAAATGTGACAAAGTTGTTTCAACTCTGTAATTTAAAATAAATTTTTTATTTTGCCCTCCTGGTACACGTGTTCAATGACTGGAAAATTACAGGTAGTTAAGGTGCCACTGTGTATAACTGAGTACTTGAGGAATGTTTTCATGACAAGGACGAGCTTTCTCATTAAGCTTATCACTTTCTTCGAACCAGCTACACTGTCACTACTAGCAAATAAGTAGAAAAGATGAGCAAAACAGACAGGCATTGCATTATCCAAGCAGTTTGTTCTCAGTGTTCATTAGGGTCTTCCAAATACTGCATTTAACTAATTTGCTTCAGGTTATGTAGTAATTTCTATCTTTAGAGCCTATTCATTCTATCCTAACTTCGAGATTTTTTTTAAAAATAAGAATATAGGCTGAGTCAAACAAAAATCAGACTTTTTATTTGCATAATTTTGTCCAAAACAACATACTGAAATTTACTGCAGAAACAAATTTAAAAAAAAGAAAAAGAAAAAAAAAGGAAAACAAACAAAAAAGATCCCTAAACCAAAGCAGTGTAAGAGTCCATGCTTGAGAAAGTAACATAAAGTCATGCTCCATTTCAATAGTCTTATGCTGAAGTCAGTGTTTGGTTTATGATTAAAAAAGGATGACAGTGCATTAAACATTTGGCGAATGCTTCTGTCTGTAATTAAAAGTTGACTTTTCGTGGTTTTCATTAGTGTCAGAGTGTTCCTCACATACTCTGGGAAATGTTCTCTAAGTTGCCCTGTTCAACTTCATTGAGTGAATTAAACAAATTATGACAGGTACAGTTCATTATGACACACTTATATAAGGTATAAATTAAAAAAATACAAAAATACAAACTCACCTTCCCCTGGCTTGTTCAAAAAACTCTGCAAGGGATCAATGCCTATCTCCTGTTCCTCTGTTTGCAACGGGTGACTGGTTTCAGACACAGAATGATACATACTGGCAGCAGTAAATTCCAACTGATGAGTATTTATCTGGAGGAAAAAAACCAGAGAAACAAACACTTCAGTATTCCTTTAAATATTTTTAATCACACGAGTCAAGAACAAAAGTACTTAAAACCTCCCGTTATTTTCCAGGCACATCATCACCATTAGTTGTCTAATTAGCAGAACAATAGTGTTTCCATTTGAACATCGTAAATGCTGTATTATTTGGAGTCCAAAAGAATTGTTATAGTTCCTACAAATATCACATTTCAAGTAAAAGTCCAAGCCTGGTTTTGAAGACTGTAAAACAGGGCAAGAGCCTCTTTCCTTCCTTCTTCTAGTTTTCCCTACTCATCTTTTAGTCTGATTCCAAAGAGAACTGATTCTAGCTCTCAGGCATGATAAAGATTATAGAGCAAAACTGAGGAAAGACCATCATCATCATCACTCATCTGGACCCATGACTTTTCATCCCAGAAAATCTTCCTTTCAACCACTTCTTTTTCAGAAATCATAGGTCAAGTATAATATAACAGCAACAGACACACCAAAAGAGAATGGATTAATACTGACTGGCATGATAGGTAAATTTGTTTTTACCAAGATTTATATTAACTTTTGTCTTGGTTCTGGCAAGAGCAGGGTTTTGCAGTACCCAGGAGGTGGCATGGGCAGGGCCCAGGTGTGTTTCTATACCATGTCATGTCACTACAAAAGCAGAGAGAAGGGAGCCTTTTTTTGGGAAGAAGGGGTTTTTTCTGGTCAAGTAAGTGTGGCAGAGGGAGGGGTTGGGTAATGCTGGCTCTGATCTGGAGGGAGTGGTTGGTTATTATCTGTTGTTAGGGTTTGTGCAGTGAGCAAGAACGTTTCTTTTCTTGTCTTGTCATTGTTTTTTTTCTTGTCATTAGCATCATTGCTGTTACTGTTCATTTTTCTTACCTCATTGGTGTTTCCAGTAAATTGTTCTTATCTTTATCTTTTGTGCCTCCAGCTCTCCTCTCCATCCCACTGCATCCCACTGCAGGGATGAGGGAGGGAAGAGGGGAATCAGCTAGTGAGCTGTGTGTGCCATGCAATGGTTTCAGTGGGAAAACTCAACTGGAAAATACCATTCCTAAACCAGGACAGCTTTCTAGAAAGATGATGTTAAGGAAGCATTTTAAGAAACATAATCCACTAGCTGATGAACATTTACAAAGACATCCTCCAAAAATGAAGGCCAAAAGGGAAGTAATGGCAGAACTGAAACTTTGGGAAGTTGATGCGGATTCATCATCACAGGCTTCCCAATGGCACTCACATCACTATCAAGCAACTGAACAAGAACTATGTTAGAAATTAATTTGAGGGGTGCTGGAAGCTAATACTGGCTGCAACAAATTAGAGTATGCCAATAAAAGGGTGAAAAGCAGACGATGTTAGGATCAGTGCATAAGAAAGAGAAACGACCCTTCTAGTGCATTAACAGTGCAAGAGTACATTTGTCAAGACTGCATTTTAGTCACTGTACAACAATTTATTAACTCACAACACAAAAAACCTAAGCCAGCTAAATAGGTCTGATTTGCCCAAGCACACTAAGTAGCTACATACGACTGCCAGATGAGTTTTAAATATCACTTACTTTAACTGCTTTGTTTACAAGTATCATAACTTTCTAACAGCAGGAAAATTATATTTAGAAAAAAATATAAAAAGAGATACAAGAAGAGGTATGCATCTACACTTTCAGGACTGGCATATTAATGAATTTGAAATCACTATGGTACTGACCATGTAGGCTTTCTACCTTCAGTTTAAGGGGAATAATGAAGGGGAACTGGGATTCTTAAGACCTTTTTATAGTCCACACTTTCTTAATTTTCCTAGTACGTTATGAGGAAAAAACACCTTCAAAAGCCCCTAAACAATCAACAATCCTAGCTGGGCCACTATTAGGCAATTCCTTGAAACCAGTGCACCCAAGCTGTTTTTAAAAGCATGCTGTCTCAGTGTATTCCCTGAGGGGTTTATCCTCTATTTGTCCCGCACCTGTGTTACTGTGGTGATGAAATGGTCACAGCACCTCTCACTTCTGTTTAGCTGGAAGAGAACATCTGAAGGTCTTGGGAACAGGGAACCAGTAACTGAGGGAAGGTAGGACTTACCACTTGAGCAGTGGTACACCTTTATGTCAAATTATTACAATCATTAAGTCATATGACAAACCACAGAACTGCCTTGAACAACTCTATACAAGGCTCAGCAAAATGTGCTATGAATGTAACTTCACATATTTCCTATATAATTTTAAAACTGTAACAATGAAAACTGCATGAATGGTATCTTGAAGAAAAACATTTACGAACTTGCTAGCCCCTTAAATAACATTTACCTGTAGTCTTGGGGCTGCAAAAATATAAAGAGATGTTTATAAATACCTGATAAATTAAATAAATAAAAGAAAAACTTAAAATAATTTATTTAAAGATAGAAAACAAAACCCCCACCAGTTTTGCAGAAGGAATTTTTTCCTGCTGGAATATTAGTTGCTGCTCTTGTTCCTTTTGCTACAGAGCTGTAAATATCTTTCAACTGATCCGTTGATTTTGTTTTCACCAAAATTACAAGCTTATTCAAACCGTGCTGCTTAAGTTTAACTTTTTATTTTTATGGTCCTTCAGAGATTGCTACACAATCTGACCAAAGCAGAACCCTAAGTGTCTTTCAAACTGAGAACCAGGCACAAAATCATCTTACCAGCCATTGTAGTTTTAGTAGCCACCGCTTAATTAAGACACAGTAGTTTCAGACTTACACTGTCTTACATCTATAACATGGTATCAATTTAGCCCTAGTAAGTTTGCACTTCTATGTCCTTCTCTTCTGTATCCACCTTTCTTTTATTTTTAAATAGTCCCCAAATGCCATACCTTTACAATCTATATGCACCATAATTTACTTTACTGACTGTTAGAGCAGCTTTAAACACCCAAATAGATTTACTTTTGGTATCTGCACAGTGATTTAATCAGTTATTTGTGTTTGTTTATGGATACATATGGTTAGAGTTAGAAAAAGTACCACTACCTATTAGTCTTCACTCCTTAGTCCAAGCAATTTTCTTTACAGTTTTATACTGAAGTTCTTTTCTGCTTTTCTAACAAAGAGCAAAGGGAACTATTAAACAATTACAATTACACTTGGGATCTTACTCTGAGACAGATTAATTCTTCACAGGTTTGTGGTTGATTTGTAATGGCCTATAACATATTGTTCATATTAAATAAGATACAATTTAAAACCATTCTCAGTGTGAAACAATAAAAATGTTATAAACCCCTGAAATTCAATTACTGGATTACAAGACTTGATTCTGGCTAACCCTAACATCTCAGTACTTTTTTTTTTAAACTCTAAAGTTGAAGGGATATGGAAGTCACACACCAGGCATGCTTCCCACTGACTATTCAGTAATATACATGAGAAAATAATTAAGACTATGTATGAAACATTTATCTAGTCATTGAAATTAGCAGAAACATGAATCCACTCATGAGCCCAAGGAAAAGGCAGGCACAGAGACTATGGCTACTGGCCTTAAGTAACAGGAGGAGCCCTCATGTGCCACCAAGGACAGTGCCACAGGTTTGCTCCTCACTGACCAACACACATGGGATGAATCCAGTCAGGCTTTCAGTGAAGGCAGCTTGTCAGCATGTCTGTTCTCAAGAGAGACCAAAAATCTCTCCAGAGACAGGCTCACGGACTCCAACACAGAACTCCACCTGACAGTAAAAGGGTTCTGTGGAGGTACCTGCTTTGCACATAATCTCCTCTCCCACAGCCTCCTCTGCACTCCATAGGTGACACAATACCAACTTGTTTTCATTAGGAAAAACTTAACTGATGGTTACTGACATCTACCTCACTACCAACCTCTTTCTACACAGCAGGGATAAACCACGTGCTGCATTAGATAGTCTGATTTAAGATACCCATTTTAACTCAGAGAACTGTCCTTTTCCTCACTGGATACTTACTCTTAGTGAGTACTTCGTACTTACTTGGAAGTTGTTGCTTCTTTTTTAGATGTGAGAAGGTTTATTCACCCAAGACTTCACACATATTGTGCCTTCCCTATTAGCTGCTCACGCATTATGTGATTTCTACCACCTTTAGCCATAGAGCAGTTTTAAATAATAGTGCCTTATTAGCATTGCCATTCTGCCTGCATACAAACTTGTGAGTTTGGAATGCTTAAACAAAATTACATTTAAAAACATCCAAAACCAAAAATCACTTCTCCAGACTGTCAGTGGCAACAGCCTCAATTCAGCCCCACTTAATCTTCCATCAATATGTATAAGTCATATCTAGCTAGACAGAAATACAAGAGAAAGATAAAAGTCTAATTGAGATATGTTTCTGTCATTAGCTGTACTGCCAGTGAAGCACCCATCACTTTTGGACTGGAGCTGGGTGAAACATTGCAAAAACACATACACAGAACTGTACAAGGCAGAAGACTCAGCTGTAATAAGATTATAATAAATGTTCATATAATAAAATTATTATAATTGATGTCCATTAAGAAGATGGAAAGTTCAAAATAAAAATAAAATCTGTTGCATTCTTTTAGCAGTGAGACTATTCACTACTACAAGCACCTAGTGGTAAGATTACCCTAATCTCAAAAATGTTGATAAATCAGCATTTCATAAACAAAACATAGCACAGTTGAACATAAATACTGTACCTTATTTCATGTCATAAGACATTCATGAACATCTTCACTTGCCACAGACACTGAATAGAAGTATTCAGTACTCAAATAAGCAGTTTATGGATGAAAAGCATTGTTTCAGAAATGGTGACTAAATAAGTTAAATCTAAAGAACCTAAAGTATTTCCCTTAATCATCACTGTTTATATGGACCTTGAAAAATTATTTACTCAAAGCACAAAACACATCAAAACAAATCAAAATTAATGTTTAAGAAGTGAAGAGTATTCATATTGTCTGGGCAAAATTAGAAAATATAATCAGTTTCAGCACGGGTATT